ATGTAGTTTCCTGGATGAAGTGATGCCACTTAAATGGAAAAGCATTTGAAGTTGTGAGAAGACCACCAAGCTGGGACTGCCCAAAACTTACCAGAAGTTAGAAAAATGATGGGAATATAGACTTCAAAATCACCACATTACATGCATTCTTTGTGCGGCATGTGTGTCCCATCTTAATTCTTCCACAGTTTAGAAGGTGAACAATAAGTGTCGTAAATCTGTAGTTTCTACGTGCCCAGTGTCTCTAGCTAAATAAGAGCAAGCACTGGAGGTCTATAACTCCCTAGTGTAACAATTGTTTTATGACATCCGTGACTATAAATCAGTGGTTCTCAACCTTTTTAATGCTGCGACCCCCAACCGGTCATAAGTCGAGGACTACTCAACCAGTCGTAAGTCGAGGACTACTCAACTGGTGCAGCACTGTTTGCAGAATGGGACTTTTGGCGGGCTCAGCAGGGCAGAGACAGCCTGGACAATTCCTATTGGCTTTTGAAAGCCAATAGAATTAGACCCTATTCAAGAGAGTCTATTCTATTGGCTTTCAAAAGCCAATAGAATAAAAGGGAGTAGCACAGCCAAGGAAAAGGGGGAAAAAATGGCCGACTGCGTTGTTTGGCGACCCCCATGAAATGGTCGTTTGACCCCAAATGGGGTCCCAACCCACAGGTTGAGAACCACTGCTATAAATGGATGCACCAAACCTCCAAGGCAATGGTCATATAAGGGGAGACAAAGGCCAACCAGGCAACTGCATGTAGAGCATATCATCCACTTCAAGAGATTGGAACTTCCACTCATAGGGAGACTATATCACATTTTTCCAGAAGCCCTTCTTGAACTGATTTTTGAGCAAGGTACGGAAAAAGGAACACTGCTTGCAAAAGTGGATATTGAATTGATAAACTCTTGACTTGTGGTAGATACCTTTCTTTCAAAATTAGTTTGTCATTCAACAAGACTTTATACAAAACGAAACAGCTCCCAACCCACATCCTATGCCTACACTCAGCCTACTTTGATCTTAAAAAGGTACTGTGTAGAAGGTGTGTGTTTTTTTTTAAAGCAATCATTTCTATTGGCTATTTTTGGCATGACCAGGGACTTATACAGATCTTAGCATATATACATTTTTTTAAAAAAATCAGATTTGCAGCAATGAAGACAAATTTTTTTGTTTTACTTAAATTAATTTTAAGGAAAGCTTAGTTTGTTTTGGTTTTGAAATAAATTTTTCAGTCTACGGTTCAAATAATTGAAAAAGCTATATTGAAAATATATAGGCAAGATGCATTTTCTTTATCATGATTGTCTGAAGGCTGCAAACTTGAAAGAAAGCTTTTGTTTTGTTTGTTGTAAGCTTTTCTTAGCTACAGTAAAGAGCAATATTAACTTACGCATATAACAACAATTAACATAGGATAAATCCAAAAGCAAGCACTTCATGGAACTAAACTATACAAATTTGCAAGTACATACAAAAACTTGATTGATCAATTACTAGAAGCAAAATGTTATAGACAGCTTCCATGGAAAAATATCCCTAGTAATTCTGTTCAATTCAATGTGATTTAACTATATAATAGAACTTTCATAAACTTGTTGAGATTTGTCAAAGTGGTGGCAGGATGCATCTAGAATAGACTGGTTACTATGAGTCACAAAGATTAATCATGATCCAGGCATACCAAAAACAATACAGTGGAACATTTAGTTCAATCTTACTGATTATTTAGAAATTTCATTGGTTTCAATGTGCCTGCTCTCTTGTGAGCATGGAATCTTTTACCATAAACCAGCTAAACTGAGTGGTAGAGTCTTGTCATATATTATGAAAGAGAATTGGCTCCTAAAGATGATGATTAATGTCTATAAAATACTTAATTCACAAGTGTTCATATGATCTCTTTAAAAAGGTAATAAATTGATGTTAAGTAATGCAAAAGCTGACCTTAATATTTCAGCTATGTATCTGACTTCTAATGGATTTTGCTTACTTTGATTGTCATGAGAGGGAAAATAAATTGGACTTAGAAACTATTATGTTAACTATATTATTTAATTTAGGAAAAATCCGTACAGAAACCATGGAACACTATAGACCTTCTATTTCTGCAACGAAGACAGAAGGAGAATCTTCATGGCCATCTAAAAATACATTGTGGGCATTTTTTTAAATTTTATTGTCCACCTCACATATATGACTCTGGGTGGCTAATGATAATAACCACCTCTGCCGGAATCATAAAGCAATCAGACATACCACACACTCAGAGCTCCAGGCTTGGGCAGAAGTTTTCAAGGTCACAGAAAAAGCCAGCAGAGTCAGGGCCAAGCTGACCTCTGATGGGATAATGTTGCACAGAGTGGACACTAGAGCAGAAAAGCCCCCCCTGTTTTTGGTCCACCTACTGACAGTCTTTAGCCAATGGGACCTGGGACATACCCCTCCCATTGGGTCATGTATATAGCGACCATACATCCCTTTATTACGAAGAACAGTCCTTCATTTCAGAAAGTTGTCCTTTAGATTTATTTTTCAAAAACTCTTATTTGGCCAAACAATTGGGGAGAGATGCTCTTGTAAATAACCCAGTCCCAATCCATGAAGGGTTTTAAAAGCGACTACCTTGAATTACACATGGAAGAAACTGGTAGCCAATGCAGTTTACGGAGCAAGGATGTCATGCCTGCAAATATATTTCAGCATTATCTGGAAAGTTCTAAGTTGCCCACTTCTGCTTTAAATGAGATATATATATATTTGAATTGCCCCACATGGTAATCTTTTATTTAGTCACCTAATCATACCGTTTGGCGCCAATCAGGAGCCCTCGTGGCACAGTGGTTAAGTGCAGTATTGCAGACAAACTCTACCCACAGCCAGGAGCTTGATCCTGATGGGGCTCAAGGTTGACTCAGCCTCCCATCCTTATGAGAACCCAGATAGTTGGGGGCAATATGCAAATAATGTTTCTACCTTGTAAACCACCCAGAGAGTGCTATAAGGCACTATAGCACAGTATATAAGCCTAAATGTTATTGATGTAGAGCATCAGCAAAGTATAAGCCAATACATGCTATTAATTAATTTATGCTATTAATAGTTCTATTTATTATATATAGTCAAAAACCCCTCCATTTTTCTGCCTTTACCAAGTAAGAATAAGTGGAGTGCTGTAAAAACAAACACCTAACTCACACCCACACAGACACATCTTCTGTAGGAGCTGGAAAGGATTAAGTTAATTTTCCCATGATAAACAAGGGGAAAGGGTGGGGATGAAAATGTGTTATTCTGTCACAGTGAAACTGGCAAATCTAGTCCTTTAAACATTGTAAACAATCCACATTTTGTAAAAGTTCAGATGTTTTGAAAGATTAAGCACTAAAGTGTAGCCCTAAAATAAACCTGTAAAAAAAAAAAATCATGCTGCTAAACAGGAAACGTAACGAAGTAAACCTGTGAAAATCAAGAGCCTGCAGTTGACAAAACCACCTTATTTTGCACCTTAATGGATCTTAACCACTATATTCAAGCAGTCACCTTCAGTAAATCCCATCATTTTTTAATGTGGCTTAATCTCTGAATAGGAAGATTATCCAGAATAAAAGTGCCAGATTCAGAAGTCCTGCAATGGAGATGCTCACTTTGCACCTGTAAAAAGATTGTCTTAGTGGCTTCGTTGTGAAACCTAAACCATCATGCAGCTGATCTAAGTGCAAATATTCTAAATCAAGCCATACATGGTTTTGGAAAGCAAGACAAGAATCAGTTGTAGAAAACTTGTCAAGCCTTTCATGGCAGGCATGCTCAGGAAACAAGACCTACATGGATTTCTGGAAAGATCTTGATTGCTAGTAAAGAATGGTAACAGAATCTTGAAGACCTATCCAAATAATTCTCTAGTCTACCTATATCTAATATAGTTAAGCGCTATTTCCTCCCTTAACTATTTTCTGCCTCCTGTGTGTTCCTGTGATATCTTATATATTCCATAATAAAACTCCAAAGAAGTTAAGTGTTGACTAAACATTAGGAGAACCTTTACACAGAACAAATTCTTTAAAAATTGAAATATCTTGGAAACCTGTACCTTTTTTTGCTGGAAATATTTGAGCAGAGTTTGTAGATTCAGTTGCACATTGTGTTACAGGTAGTCCTTGACTTACAACCGGTTGTTTAGTGACTGTTCAAAGTTATGAACTGCCCCAAAGCTACTTACAACCTAGTTTTGAGATTCTGACTACATTTTGGATGCTTGGCAACTGTCCCACGTTTACAACCATTTGCAGTGCCCCATGGTCATGTGACCACAACTTACAATTTTGCTAGAAACTGGAGTTTACTTCTGGTTTCTGGCAAAAACTGGCCCACAGCAAACAATAAGTGGGTTTAACAATCATTCATTTACAACCTCTCCCTTTACTTAACAACTGCCACAAAAAAATTTGTCAAATTAGCTCCAGTCATGCCGTGACCTGCTTTATGACTGTCCCAATTTACGATCGCAATTGCGGGGTTCAATTACAGTTGTAATTCAAGGACTACACGTATACTGGACCACATGACTTCCAAAGACTTTTCTAGCTTTCTAGTGATTGATCCGTGAAAGATAAACTTGGAATGAACTGTGCATTGGTTCTGAGTATGGAAATCATGAATCCTAAAACCAAGGAAAATAAATCCATGGGGTCACAAGGCAGAAATATCTGGATGCAGGCAACCTTAAAGCAGACCCATTGAGCTTTGGGAGTGTGTAGATTCTTCAGAACTTGGAGGGCCAAGTCAGTCTATCCCAGTGCTTCCCAAACTTGACAATTTTAAGGCATGTGGACTTCAACTCCCAGAATTCCACAGCCAGAGTTGAAGTCCACATGCCTTAAAATTGTCAAGGTTGAGAAACACTGGTCTATCCTGAGAACAAAGAGCTCTCCAACTTCTCAATCAGTTAGTTGAAAATAATTTAAAACTGAAACTAGTTTTATTATTTTGCAAGTGATTGAAATTATGTCTTTTTATTAAGAAAACTGAAAGGGCATTCAAATTCCAACGCATCTGGTTTTTTTGAAGACTCAAATAACGAACATAAATAAAAATGGGCTTCCCATCACATGATACAATATTTTCTTGAGAAATTATGTCCTTTGACATCCGATTGGTGCAACAATAAAATGGCACAGATATTCTTCCATTTGAAAAAGTTTAATTTAATGTGGTGAAATTAAATTTATAAAAAATAAAACAAGCAGCAATATAATAAAAGCTCTTGTCATTGTTGTTTTTTTTTAAAAAGTTGGTATTTTTAACTAAACTGCAAAAACATTTCTAGCGGTTTGACAAATCCAGTGTGGAACATTAATTCAATCTCTGTTCAAGAGAGAAATGAAGGATGATCTTCTTATTCTGTAAGTAAAAAAAATGCACATTAAAAAGTATAAGCAGTATCATAATAAAACATTTATTAGACGTCAAATAAGCAATTTCAAAAGCTTACCCATGAAAACACAAAAATAACACTGATTGAAAATGTACATATAAAATAAAGAACATAAAGTCTCAGGGATTCAATTCCAGAAATCTAGTAACTTCCCCCCAAAATCATCACTGCAACACAAACATGAAAGTGGTGACTAGAATTTCACAAAACAGCATCTCTTTAATCAATCTCTCATGCTTTTTCCATCATCAGAGTTAAAATACAGAACCAAGAGTAGTTCTCTACTGTCAGCGTAAGTCCATATATCAGTGGTTCTTGGGTTACGACCAGCTCTGAGATTGCCTTTGCTAAGTGATGCAGTTATAAAGTGATAATGTCATATGACTGTGCCATTTAGCAACAATAATGTACAGCAGTCGCAGTTGCTGTTGTAACCCCAAGATGCATGAATTGTTAAGCAGGAAGTGGCAGAAGTTCCAGAACAGAGGAGGGGTGCCAGGGAGTGCTGGGGGAAGGGGAGGAGGCTGGGGGAGACCATGGGACGCCTGGCACAGTCTGTGTCAGTGGTTCCCAACCTTTTCTATACCCCACACCCCTAGAACGCTTCTGATATATTCTCGCACCCCTTACAAAAGTTCGAAATAACAAATTATGCATATACACTACAATTTTGAAACTTCTAAATCCAAGTTTTCGCAGTCCCTGGAATATTGTCTCGCACCCCTAGTCTATGGGCAAGTGCGGAAAGGCTGGGGGATGGAGGGTACAGCATGGCACAAGCTCTGGAAGGCTCCAGAAGGCCGGGGTAGGGAAGGTGTGGTGGCACAAGTACAGGAAGATTGGGAGACAGAGGGGGCAACATGGCACAGGAAGAAGACTTACCAGAGCAACTGGTGACTCCCCTGCCAGCTTCCCCATTGATTTTGCTTGTCGGAAGCTGGCAGGGACGATTGCAAATGGCGGTCACACGCCCACGAGACGCTACAGCCATTTTAACTGCGAGCAGGTTGCCAAACCCCTGAATTATGATCACATGACTACAAAGGTTACACAGGTAGCCCTTGACTTACAACAGTTCATTTAGTGACCATTCAAAATTATAACGGCACTGGAAAAAGTGATTTATGACCGTTTTTCAGACTTACAATTTTTGTAGCATCCCCGTGATCATGGGACGAAAATTCAGATGCTTGGCAACTGGTTCATTCTTATGACCGTTGCTGTGTCCCAAAGTTATGTGATCACTCTTTGCAATCTTTGAACAAGCAAAATCAACGGGGAAGCCAGATTTGCTTAACAACCATATTACTAATTTATGAACTGCAATGATTCACTTAACGACCGTGGCAAGAAAGGTTGAAAAATGGAGCAAAACTCACTTAACCCATGTCTCACGTAACAACAGACATTTGGGGCTCAATTGTGGTCATATGTCAAGGACTACCTATAAGTACCACTCTTCTAGTGAAGGGCTTTTCAACCTTTTCACCCATTGTACCACTTTTAGGATATGGCAACATCTGAATACCACCAGTCGCCTAGCAAGGTGTCAAAAACTTGATGACCCAAAATAAAAAGGAAAAAAGTGACGAAGTACAGGTAGTCCTCCACTTACAACAGTTCGCTTAGTGACTGTTCGAAGTTACAATGGCACTGAAAAAAGTGGCCCCCAAGCCACAGCCGAGCAAGACACCCGGCGGTGCTCTTCCTCCTGTCTGAGGTTTTCATTGTTGTGAGCATTTCTGTTGAACATTGGCAGTGGGAGTGGGGGGTGTTTGGTTTTTATTCCCCCCCCCCATCTGCTGGGTGGTTGCAGCAGGTTTTGGTCACTTCACATGACCCTGGGACACTGTGACCGTCATAAATATGAATCAGTTGCCAAGCATCTGAATGTAAATCACAAGACCCTGGAGATGCTGCAACATTCCAGCTGATTGGCGCTTCTTCTGGCTCAGCAGAAGCGCCAGGATCAGTGCCAAGCTCCAGCTGGAGCCTGGCGCTGATCCTGGCGCTTCCACTGAGCCCTGACAGCCCTGCAGCTCCAGTCATCTCTCCCTCAGGCTTGTGCGGTGCTGCCACCGGTTCAGCTCATTCCCCCCTTTCGCTACCATCTTTCTAGGATGGTCGCGTACCACCTGCCAGGTGCCAATGTACCACAGGTGGTACCCATACCACTGTTTGAAAAGCCTTGCTCTAGTGCCATTGCAACTTTCAACGATCACTAAATGAGCGATCAAAAAGCAAGGACTACCTTTTGACTTGTTGAAAGTTTGGGTGCAACCACTGATACCGTATGATAAATTGGAAACTATAGTTAGAGTTAATAATGGTCCCTATCTAGGCTGTTTGCTAGGGGATCTTATACGATGCAAAGTAAGAAGAGAAACACAAGACAAAAAAAGAAAATTACTGACCAGTGAGGGAGTCAGCCACTTCTAAATATTTTTGTTAGACTTTCCAGATCTTCAGTTTTGATACATAATTCTTCAAGCAAGGTAGCAAGGAACTGTGTATATCCTTTATTTTGCTGAGAATGTGCAAAAGCAGGGATATTTTCTGACAAACTGAAAGGCAAAAATTGAGTGTTTTCAGAAAGATGTAATCTTATTGTGTCAAATAGGTGGATATAAATGTCAAATATGAATCAAGAAGTAATCACAACATCAATCATGTTGGTAATTAGTCACTTCTGGAAATATTTTCATAAAGTTTTTTAAAAGTCCCTGAAGTATATAATTTGTAATAAATTAAGATAAAAAAAAGTAAGACACTTTAAAACAGTAGCAAATTCCTGCTATGTTTTCCAACAGTAATTAAATAGCCCTGTCTTAGGAACAAAGCCAGCTGGATGACCGTGGGCCAGCCACTTTCTCTCCACCCTAGGAAGGAGGCAACGGCAATCTACTTCTGAAAAACCTTGCCAAGAAAGCTGCAGGGATTCGTCAAGGCAGTCTCTGGGACATGATTGAATGGAAGAAAAAAATCCACGCACAGATTGAGTCTCCAAATTGAGCCCCCCCCCCCCTGGGATGTTGTATGAGAGTGTGTATATACTTCAGAGGATTTCCAATCTCTCCCACTCACAAAGGTATAATTACACACATACATTTTAAAGGTGCAGCATTCAATTCCTCCTGCCTCTTCCCAAATGCTCACAAAGAGCAAAATCATTGCTGGCAACTGCTAAAAAATTGCTTCCAGTCAAATTGGAGGGATCAACTACATCAATAATTAACATGTTGAACTGTAACCAATTCCTTATATACAAATTCTTATTCTCACGCTTAAATTACTTTTTGGACTGTAGTGTTCCTTCGCCCCCCTGAAAAATGAAATCGCCCCCTGGGGGGCAATATTGCCCAGGTTAAGAACCACTGGTGTAAACCATATAAGCAACAACCTTACATTGAATATCCTCAACATATAAACTTTGATTACTGAACTTTTTTTTGGTGTGTGGGTGTGCGTGTGCCTTTGAGTCAATACTGACTCCTAGAGACTGCCTGGACAAGACCTTGTAATTTTCTCAGCGAGTTATTTCCAGAAGCGGCTGGCCATTTACCTTCTTCCTAAGGTTGAGAGGACGGACTGGCTCAAGGTTACCCCTACTGGTTTTGTACCTAAGGTAGGACTAGAACTCACAGTCTCCCAGTTTCTAGCCTGGTGCTTCACCACTACGCCAAATCTGGTTCCTACACCAACAAAACTGTCTCTGTTCTGAACCACCACCACCACAACAGCTTCTGTTTTTTTTCCCCTTACACAACAGAACAGGCTTTTCTGATCAATGGTGTAAACTTTCAAGGCAAGATAAGTGAAACTCATTTTTCTTTCAAAAATGACTATTCCTTTACATTTCTTTACTCATAAGCGTAATGATGCCCAATACCTGTCTGATTACTTACAATTTATACACAAGGCATTTGAGACACATGAAAAAAAAATGTATTTGCTGGTACGGAAATGCACCTTGTATCTGATTCTGGGTGATTCGTCCACACCCAGCTCTGAGCAGCCAGGAATCTAGCCAACACCTCCGATGTGGCTCTGCAGAGAAAGATCACTATTTTCCCTAATATTGATGGCAGTGAGTTTGCAGTGCGATCACTGAAAGGAGGAAGGCAGCCCCCATGGCTGACTCCCAACAACCCTTTGAAGAACATTGGCTGCCTGCAACAGGGAACAAGCAGCCCACGTGTCCAGCTCTGGTTGTGAAGGAAGTAATTACTGCTAGGTTTTTTTCCCCACTAGGGATGTTTTTTCCATGATTTTCAACAGAGTAAGGGGTATGTCCATTTATGCCAGTGGTTCTCAACCTGTGGGTCGGGACCCCATTTGGGTTGAACGACCATTTCACGGGGGTCGCCAAACAATGCAGTCCGCCATTTTTTCCCCCTTTTCCTTAGCTGTGCTACTCCTTTTTATTCTATTGGCTTTTGAAAGCCAATAGAATAGACTCTCTTGAATAGAGTCTAATTCTATTGGCTTTCAAAAGCCAATAGGAATTGTCCAGGCTGTCTCTGCCCTGCTGAGCCCACCAAAAGTCCCATTCTGCAAACGGTACTTCACCAGTTGAGTAGTCCTCGACTTACGACCGGTTGAGTAGTCCTCGACTTACAACTGGTTGGGGGGTCGCGGCATTAAAAAGGTTGAGAACCACTGATCTGTGCATATTAAAGAGAAAGAAAGGAGTGGGCACAGATGCTCCGACATGTCAGAGTCTTGTAGATTTCGGAGTCAAAACAGTTATCTTTCCCCCAGTAGATACAGAGCAGGGCAATTTCGTTGAGGGAAAAGTACAGCACAATCTTGACATGCAGAAATTAAAGGTCTAACCTGGAATCTATTTCACGCTGAAGAATAGAGAGTTTCACGTTCCTTTTTTTATTTCTAGCCTGATAATCTCAGTTCTCAGTCTGTACCCTTTCGGTCCGTGAAACAAAGATTTCTGATTTCTGAACTTGCCTCTCCTGTGTCGTGGATTTCGACAGAAGAGCTTGGACTCTTCGCCACAGAAGCTTTTCCAATGATTATTTAATTTAGCTTTACCCACTGCCATGGGGCACATCAAATATGAATGTCACTCTCAGAAGCTGCAGGTCAAGGGGAGCAAGCCAGTAATCAGAGCAGTGCATTTTCTGAGCTGAGCTTCCATTACTTGAAGCAATCTAGTAAGTGAACTTAAAAATAAATGAATAAGCGGGCAGCCCGTGAGGGCTCTGAACTTGTGGTAGCAAGACTGACACTGGAAAATAACAAGATCTGCAAATCTAGGTGCATCTGCTCAACCCATGAACTCCTTTGAGGTTCTATAAAACTAGGAATAACCATGTCTAGGTTGATTATTTTAAGAAAATCACCTTCTTCTTCAATTAACAGCATACCGCTTGGGGAAAAGCTTTTCCAAAGCTGCCTCACAGTTCAATAATAATTGGTGTGGACCAGGAGTAGGCAACCTTGGCTCTTTTACGACTCGTGGACTTCAACTCCCAGAATTCCTGAGCCAGCAACGCTGGCTCAGGAATTCTGGGAGTTGAAGTACACGAGTCGTAAAAGAGCCAAGGTTGCCTACCCCTGGTGTGGAAAATTAGCTGCTCTGCTAATAGGGCCTGTTGTTCCTGAGAAAGTGCAACTCCCTGTAAGTATCCCACAGGTGTCCCTACAGGTAGTCATTGACTTACAACCATTCATTTAATGACCATATGAAGTTACAATGGCACTGAAAAAAGTAACTTATGACAGTTTTTCCACACTTAAGACCATTGCAGCATCCCACTGGTCACGTGATCAAAATTCGGATGCTTGGCAACTGGCCTGTATTTATGAGAGTTGCAGTGTCCTCAGAGCTACGCAATTACATCTGGTGACCTCCTGACAAGCAAAGAGTCAATGGGGAAGCCGGATTCACTTAACAACCGTGTTACTAACTTAACAACTACAGTGATTCACCTAACAACTGTGGTCGGAGAGGTTGTAAAATGGGCCACAATTCGCTTAACTGTCTTGCTCAGCAATGGAAATTTCCAGCTCCATTGTGGCCATACATAGAGGACTACCTGTGTTAAGCTTTCGAGCTGTTGTATTCACTGCAGAATTTCATCCTATTAGCCAATCTGGATGAGAAATAACCAACACTACTACAATAAGCAGAACTATGAAGGCCACTAACCAGTTTGGGAGGAAAATAAAACATGCTCACATTCTGAACAAGATTGGTGCAAGTTGGCAAGGGACACCTTGAAGAGTCTAAGTAATACACAGTGCCATTCATCTCATTTAGGGTTGCTCTGGAATTTAGAAGATGAATTAATTAATTTAAAAACAAAGGGTCAGGGAAGATTAGGTCAGATGGATAGAAACCAGTTGTATTATAAAGCTGTCCCCACGGTCATGTGATCAAAAGTTGGATATTTGGCAACTGGTACATATTTACACTAGTTGCACTGTCCTGGGGTCATGTGATCATCATTTGCGACCTTTCCGGGGTGGAGGGAAGCAAAGTCAACAAGGAAAGCTGGATTTGCTTAATGACCAGGGCAAAAAAATGTATCATAAAATAAGATACAACTAATTTAGTGACTGCTTCATTGAGCGACAGAAGTTGCATTCCCAATTATGTAGTATGTCAAAGACTACCTTCTTCCTAGTATTATTCCCATGCTATGGCAGGTCCACTTAAGTCAAAGACTACCTATAAAACAATAATTTAGGTTACTCAGTTCTCATTTCCCCCTCCAGTATTCAGTCACAGAAGAATGCTGGGAATATTCTGGTACATTTTCAATTCACAGGAGGTTATATAGTAACCTGACAACTTAAAAGAGCTGAGTATGTACCTCAAAACAGTACTTTAGCTCAGATCTTTTGTAACATATAGTTCAGCTGTACATAGTCAATCAAGAAACATTTCCTGAAGGTTAAAAATGTGTCAGCCAGCGTGGGCATGATCCTTCAATCGGTATGTTGTAACCTTTAGTTTATTTACAAGCAGCAAGCTAATTTTTTTTTCAAATTTGTCTGAAAGTAATCTGTCTTTACCAGCAAATGACATTCCAAGTTTGCATTACAGTCCAGTACATCAACATATAGTATATCAATATTGTTTTACTCTGTACATTTGATATAAACAATGAACATTTCATTTATAAACCTAGTGCAGTGGTGGCGAACCTATGGCACACGTGCCAGAGGCAACACTCGGAGCCCTCTCTGTGGGCACACACGCCGTTGCCCCAGCCCTGCCTCCCCCTGCGGCCCCCTCCTCACCAGCAGCCCCCCTGGAGGAGAGTCGCCCCCCAGGCACAGTCCACATGGAGCAGCAGCCGGAGTGCAGATGATGCTGTGGGATGTGGGCAGAGGGAGTGGCTGCCATGGTGCTGCAGGGCTACCTGGGCGATCTGCAGTGGGCCATGGAGGTGGTGCATGGCCTTTGGGTGGGCGGAGCAGAGGGCAGCTATTGGAAAGTGAGTCATAACCATCTAGGGGCACTTTCTTGTTGAGTAGGATCAATAGGTTCCTCAGCAGTAGTATTCTGGCTTTGTGTGTCTTAAAAATAATATGTATAAAACCTCAGTTTATCTCCTGACTCAAGAAAAAGATCCTAACAGTATCTTCTGTCTTCCATTGCTTAGTCTTTGGCCCATTGGTTTAATGCCAAAAACTATCACAAAATAGCAATTAAAGATAAGCTTGTTTTATTAGGCTAGTTGGCTAGATAAGGCTTCTAGGAAGATAAATGTTACTGTAGAAATACATCTGAAATTCTTATTTAATTAAATGTTCATAATTATCATGCCCAGCTGAAACAAAATCGTAATGTTAAATGTATTACTGTTTGCATGCTTCCTATATAACTTTTTAAAACATGCAGTGGCAGCAACATTAGGGAAAAGGGCCAACTTCAGATAGGAAATAATGAAATTCAAGAATTCAATGGCAGAATGTAGATCAGTATATATACTAAGATTTTAAGGAAATGTGTATGTAAGAAAC